TCTGTAAGTAACATATATCCTGGGGAACAACTCACTGGTTGCGCAAGCAGCACTGGGACACTTGCATGCACCCATTCACCGTTTAGTTTCAAAATCTTCCATAAGCCAGACCCAACTAGTCAATGGGAACCCCCATAAATGTAATAACATGGAACGTCAAAGGGCTCCGATCACCTAAGACGCAAAATTATACGACACCTACGTAAACTCAATGCAGAGATAGCATTTCTACAGGAAACTCACCTACAGGAGGCAGACTTCAACCGCATGAAACAATCTTGGGTGGGCTTGGTAGTAGGCGCCCCCGCTAATGCAAGAAAAGCTGGGGTACTCACCCTTATTAACAAAAACCTGCCGTTCACTTTGATATCCCAGTCCCACGATGAGAAGGAGGGTAGATGGTCCCACATCACTGTCTCCCTGGGTAACACAACACTAGACGTATGGAATATATATGGACCAAACAATGAAAATAACTCTTTTTGTGATTCATTATCCAACAATCTAATGCAACAAAGTCCGCAATCTTATACACTGGTAGGAGGCGACTTCAATGCTACCCCGTCCGCCTCTGAGGATCGCTTTTGGCAACTTAGGAACGCCCCTCCCCCAACAAATCCACAGGACAAACACCTCCAAGTTTTGATCCACAAGACGGCATTGACCGATGTATGGAGATTCTTTCACCCCATCGAAAGGGACTATACCCACTTCTCCGATGCTCATAGATCACTGTCCCGCATTGACTTATTTCTCTCTTCCCCAAATGTCCTACCCAAAGTTAGATCGGCTACCATTGAAAGGATGGTAATTTCGGACCATGCACCGGTGGTAATCACGCTCCAGGGCTTGGCACTGGCTTCATCTCCAAAAACCTGGCGTTTCCCATCTTATCTATTTACTGACGATACTTTCCAATCTTTGTTGAAGTCCTGGTGGTATGAATACGAAACTGACAACAATGGGCATGTTAATGATTATTTCCTTTTCTGGGAAGCGGCAAAGGCAGTCCTCAGAGGCAGGATACTGGCTTACGTGACTTCCAGGAAAAAAATGACCAAACGTAAATATATGGAGGCAAGTACGGCAGCTAGAGATGCTTATTTGAAATACAAACAATCTCCCAATCCACAAACCAGAGATCATTGGATTCAACATAAGCGTTCCTGTGATCACTGGTTGCAACAATATGACCTCATCGTCAGGTCACGTAAAGATGTTGAGCTATTAAAATTTGGCAATAAAGCTGGCAGGTTATTAGCTAACTTGGCTCATGGTCAACGACCCACTTCTCACATTGTTCGCTTAAATGACCCCAAGGGCAACACGTGTACAGAACCTGATGACATATGCCAACTGTTCAGCAATTACTATACCCCCCTTTATGCCGCTGACCCAGGTGACATTCCGGCTGGGAGGAAGTTTCTAGACTCAGTATCTCTTCCCTCCTTGTCTCTTGAGGACCAGGAAGATTTAAATAGGGAAATCACACCTGCAGAAATTTTACATGTCATCCGTACATCCCCTCGATCCAAGGCGCCGGGCCCAGACGGAATGACTACGGAATTCTATAAACTACTCTCAGACGAGATTTCCCCATGTCTCCTATCCCTCTTCAATCATATACTTCGCACACACCAATACCCGCCCACCTTCAACGAGGCCTACATTAAACTGTTACCCAAACCTGGCAAGGACCCACTTCTTCCTGGGTCATATCGCCCTATTTCACTATTGAACCAAGACGCCAAGCTACTATCCAAAATCTTAGCAAACAGACTAGCTGCCGTACTTCCGAAATTGATATCTACCGACCAAGTGGGTTTTGTGTCAGGCCGAGCGGCTGTTATAAATGTGCGTAAAGTTATTACTGCTTTAGAAAAGGTTAGACTGTCTAGTCCTTCTCGGTGTCCAAGGGCCCTTTTGACCTTGGATGCCGAGAAAGCTTTCGATAATGTCAACTGGGATTGGCTGCATTTGGTGATGACTCGTATGGGATTTTCTGGTTTATTTTTACATTTTATATCTACCATTTATACTTCCCCCACAGCACGCATCTACACTTCTTCTGCCTTATCTTCCCCTATACATTTACATAAAGGTACATGCCAGGGATGTCCTCTATCCCCACTCCTATTTAACCTGGCCATTGAACCCCTGTCCAGATCACTAGTAGCATCGGACCTGTACTCAGGAATTCGTCTGGGTCCGCATGATGTAAAACTAACTGTTCGCAGATGACATACTTATATTCCTCTCTAACCCATCCTCTCAAATTCCAAACATACTTAGCTATATAAACTTATATGGGTCCTTCTCTGGACTAAAAATCAATTTTGATAAATGTGAATTGCTCCCCCTAGATACTGCACAATCAATCGATATGACAGTGTGGCCTGACAGATTCAAGATACAAATAAACAGACACTCCATCCGTCATTTGGGTATTCAAATCCCACGTTTAGCAACGGATCTCTATACCTTGAATTATTCCCCCATTTTCAAAAAAATAACCACCGAGCTTAGAAATTGGCGGGACCTTCCCATCTCTACATTGGGAAGGTGTCACTTAATTAGGATGATTAGTTTTGCTCGCCTCCTTTATCCAATGCAGACGATCCCCTTACTGATTAAACATAAGGACGCTCAGGCACTGCATAGGGCCTTCTCCCAATTCATATGGAACGGGAAAAGATCCAGGATTGCACTATCCAAACTGCAACACCCAACATCGCAATTAGGCGCCAATATGCCCAACATCAGACTGTACAACCTGGCCAGTATTTTTCGCCATGTCCGCGACTGGCGAAAAACACAAAATTGGAACAACAACTAGTCTACCCGTGGTCTCTTCCAGGGGTACTTCATACTCCACTCCCCCGCCTTCCCCCTCATATAAAACGTAATATACTCCTAAGAGATACCATAATCGCATGGAGGGAGGTGAGAAAACTTTTTCTTTTGACGGGTATGGTTTCACCACTGATGCCACTACTCACTACACCAGCCTTCCTGGCTGAACACGAATCCCCGGTGTTTAGCCAATGGAAGGCTAGGGGAATTCACACCCTACGAGATATGATCACAGTACAGGGGAAATGCAAGACCCTGGAGGAGCTCCAGAGCGAATTTCACATTTCAGCTAATCACTTCCTCCAACATGCCCAAATTAAGCACTTTATTGGCCATAATCTTCCCACGGCTAGTATAGAACCCAACTCAAGGCTTCTAAGGCATTTGCTATCCTCCCCAACCCAGAAGATGCCTCTATCCTCCATACATCATCATTTATATTCCACAGCATCTTCTATATCAAAGGTACTCCCCAACTATGTACACAAGTGGCCAGTTTTTGAAGTTATCTCTGGAATCCACACATAACCTTCTCCTGTGTGGTTGGATGCAATTGAGAAGAGCTATAGTCAGTGAATCTTTTTTTTTGCTGAACGTATAGTAATGTTATTATTCACTAGCCTTTTGTATGCCTTCTTTTGTATACCTTGTGATTTTATACTCTTCATGTATGTTGTACTATACCTTGCCCGCAAATAAAAAATTACATGCAAAAAAAAAAGAGCCTTAGTAACAGCATGCAATGCCAGGCAGCAGCAAATAAGGCGAGCAGGGTACTATCTTGCATAAAAAAGGGGATGCACTCTAAAGGCAAATCCATAATTCTCCCCCTATACAAAACATTAGTCCAAAGAAGGGTGACAAAGCTAATAAAGGGGTTAGAGGACCTAAACTATGAGGAAAGACTGTATTAATTAAACTTGTTCACTCTTGAAAGGAGGAGACTTTAGACATGATATTTTTTTACATATTGTTTAATGGTGATGGGAAAATCAGTAATAAACTGTGCACAATTAGTTCACTCAAGACGACAAGAGGCCACCATCTGAAACTGGAAGAGAAAAGGTTTAATTTTAAACTCTGAAGGGGATTCTTTACTGTGAAAGCTGTACAATTGTGGAACTCCCTTCCACAGGCAGTGGTTTCACCTGAAAGTATGGAATCATTCAAGACCTGTCTAGATACCTTCCTCAGAGAGAAACATATACAGAGGTACAGGTCATCTTAGTAACTCAAACACACACACACACACAAAACCACATAGGTTGAACTCAATGAACCTGTATCCTTATTCAACCTTACCTGCTATGTAACTATGTAAAAATTGGCAGCAAAAGGCCTGTACTCAGTGTAGGCACAAGGTCCTTGAACACCCAAGGTGAAGAAACCAACACCCTCACCGCTACACCATGAGCTGTGAAATACTTCAGCAGCATAAGTTTTAATTTCTGCCAATTTTTCACACTGCTCTGCCAATTTATGGTCTGTGCTGAATCACAGGGGCAGATACCCAGATGCTCTTTTTGCCCTGACAACCATGCCTACCCTCCACTAGCATCTGAAGCGGTAATATCCCTGTTTTGCAAGGACACACAGTCAGTGTCAGGGTTAAAATGAACACAGACATGTGGTTCAACAACATGGCCAGGAACATTACATCACCTTCAAGGCACACTAGCTGGGAGGATGCAGGATGGGCCACAATGCTGGAGTTTGTGGTGCCACCTGGGTTCTGCACATTGGTGACAGTGTGGTTACCTCTTCTTCTTTCTCCTCAAAGTCTCAGGCAATGACTCCTTAGAGCCACCAATCCCTCTCACGTGCCCTAGTAAATGATGCACTCCTGAACCCTGCACCTTCTGCAAAAACTACTCATGACCCCCTTTGCCATGTACTATGCCAACTCACTATGTATACAGTGAGTAGGCTCAGGTTTTATTTAACCATGCCTGGCTCCACATGCCACTTTATACTTCTCTTGGTGCCCACAGGTTCCCCAGGTCTTTCACAATCCTAGCAACCCCACTGCATATTGTTAATTTTCTGTCTTAGCTGTGCAGGTGATTTATAAAAATATAGGTAAGCAGAAAATTATCTAAACAACAGAATGATGTTGGTGAATGGAAAAAAAACATACCAATGCTTACCTTTTCTTTGAATCTGGATGAAGAACTCCTCCAACAGACCAAATAACTGCGAAGAAACCATAAGCTAGGATTGCATTTTTTACCTCTTCATTTATTTTTACAGTATGGTGCACAGAAGATCTTGTCTCTTCAATATCAAGGACCTCTTCCTCATTTTCTGTGCCAGATTTTGCAGACCTAAAAAAAGAGCTTTTTTAAAAACTTCCTTTCCATTCTGATCTGCACATAGGACTAATGTTCTAAAAAAGCCACTAACTCTTACAACCATTTTAGCTCCAAGACATCTAAGATCCTCCTCAGTCTGTTATGCAGCAAAGAGCTCCATTTTCACAATTAATTGAGAATTGGCAAAGATATGGCAACGGTATGCCAATGGTTACTATTTTAAGACATTTTCATTTCAGTGAAAATGTATAGCTACCTGTGCAAACACAAATGAATTTAGAAATATACTGTATAATGTATTTTTGTCATGTTAAAATCCAGTTTGTGGACTGTATGCATTATACCACTTCACATGCGACTTCTATTGTCATATATTATTTCTGAACTAATTTACTGGAGAAGTGGTCTGTAGTACATGGTTTATAGATGCAAGCAATCAGTAGATCTTAGTATGTTGTGCTACCTGGTTAAACATTCAGCTTTCCAGGAAAAGCCTTAACTGCCAAAGGGTTTATTGTTTCTAAAATACATTCCTTATAACCACAACAGCCATCTTAAGGATTAACATCCTAGAAGCAGTGGATCTTGTGAGTACCTAGAGAAGAAACATTTCACAATGCACAAAAACAACTGTCTCCAATATCTATTGCATGTGTATTATCAACAAGCAATGAGAAAGCTAAAAAGGTTAGGACCTAAATAGAGGAGTAGAGCTGAACTGGCCTGCTGTTCAACTATTAGCCCCACAATATACAGCAAGTGTGTGTTCTGACTTTCACTCTAACTTTAACAAAAAGGGCAATAATTATTTTATGCTTATGGCTAATCTAACTATGTTTAATTCCTTGCATCAAAAACTACCACTTTATAAATGTGTATTTTAAATAAACAGCTATGTAAACCTTGATTTCATTTAAAATTCAGTTCAGAAAGTGACATGAATTTAGCTAATGCCTTTTACCTTGATGACTGTAATTTGCTCTTTTGTTGATTTAAGTGATTATTGATAGAATGTTGCAAATTAGTTAAAAACTACAACAAAATTACATCTTTGTATATTTCATCAGTTAAGACTTCAGCGTCCATCTAATTAATTAGACAATGATTTACGTTAAGAAAAAAAGTTGCATTATCAGTGTGGTCCATGAAACAAGAGAACTGAATACAAGTGGCCTACAAATTACTTAATAAAGAAGGAATAGTTATATGCCTTCTTTATAACAATGTTTCATTGTCATGTTTATAGTTAAATCTGAAAGGAATATTATTGTTTTTGCTCCAGAGAAATCTGAGCCTCATCTTTATCTAATTATAGATGTCACTATGGCAATGGCCCAAATGATAACTGTAGTAAAAATAAGAAAATAAGTAAACTAGTTCTGAATATGTTCCTGTGTATTATTAATGCAAAAATGCCTATATTTTGAAATGAATCAAATACAGCAGAGTTACCGGAATTAATTATATGGGTCATGTATGAAAATGGATCAAATCAGTGGAGATCTGATTGCTTAAAACCTTTCTTGTAAATGCATTGAAAATACGTGAAACATTTGACAAAAAATTGCATTTGCTCTAGTTCATCCCAATCCATGGATCAAGTTTAAAAAAGGATATTTTAAGAATGTTATCAACAATTAAGTCCACTAAAAGAATAAGACATGTGCACTGCCAAAAAATTTGTTTCGTTTCGTTTTAAATTCGGATTTGTGTTATTTCGTTTTTCGGGATTCGGGTGTGAAAGTCAATTTGGATTCGGAATTCGGATTCGGACGAAATTCGGTAGCGGTAGTTCGTTCGACCGTTCGTTTCGCTTTCGTTTCTTATTCGTTTCGTCCATTCGTTCGTTCGTTTGTAGCAAAGTGACTTTTGAGGGGAAAAATGTTTTTCTTCAACGAACGAAACGAATAAGAAACGAAAACGAAACGAACGTTCGAACGAACTACCGCTACCGAATTTCGGAAACGGAAATTCGGATTCGTTTGCATTCGTTATATCTGTAATTCGGAATTCGGATACATCCGAATGTCCGAATTTCCGACAATTTGTCCGAATTTCTAATAAGAATGTATAACCCCCTATTACTAAAGAACACTGCTTCAAACAGTATAAGGAGTTTGTGTCCTTAGTGATTCTTCATATGCAGGCACAATGAATGCTAGGAAGATTCTGTTTCATGTGAATAGACCAGTTTTAGGCTTCAAGTCAACAACTCTTCTGTATGAATGAAACAGGGAGGCTGGAGGGAGCTACTAAAGTGAAGAGTAGTTGCAGACTGAATTCATTTTAGAGCTTCACTGGGCAGACATATACATTATATTGAACTCTCCAGTTTAATATGTGCTCATGAATAGTAGCCTATTAAAAGGCCCCCTGGTGAGGTTTATATCCTTATGGTAGGGCCACAGAGAACCTTTTTCTTACAGGTGCTTCAAGTATCCATGTAAGATACAGACTCATAAATGGGATTTAAAGTGACACTAAACTCAGGAGTTAAGTCTTCAAAATGCATTCAAGTACCTTAACTATTAACAAAAATGTATCTTATTTGTGTATCACTCAATTGTAGGTCCTCAAATCATCTCTGAATTCATGCTCACCCTGTCCTTGCTTCTTGAGGGTGGCTACTTGTGTTCCCCATGGTCCCTGTGTAAAGTAGCCACCACTCTAAGCTCACTCCCATGATGGTCTACAATTTCACATTTAGTTTATTAATTTGTATTGAGATTGTAGTCCATCACAGACGTGAGCTTGGAGTGGTGGTTGCTATACAACACACAGATACCATAGGAAACAAAAGTAGCCACCCTCCAGAAGGAAAGATACTTGAATAATTTATTTTAGTTCTAACACCTAAGTTTAAAGTCACTTTAAGCACCCATTCCTATTAAAACAACAGAATCACATAAGGCAGACCTCCACAGATGCATATACTTACCTTCCTTTTCTCACTCTTTCTCCACTCCATTGGGAACAAAAGGAAAGCCCTGTGTAAACAAGTCACCTAACATAGAATGAGTCACATGCTCCTCAATATTTGGCAGTACAGGATATGATCTTTGACTCCCAGCACTGAACAGCACAATCAAAGGAAGAGTAAGTATATTCTGCTGGGCATGGGTATATAAGCAAAGCACAAGTATGCTTTAAGAATATTTTCCTACCACCATTTAATAGTAAATATTTTCGTTAACACTGTTAAAGAAGAAGGTTCCTGTTACTTTATAAGTTCTGTAGCTATACAGTTTCATTGAGGACAAGGGTCACAAAATATTTTTAAAGCCTTAGGGGTCATTCACACCAGAATGCATGCATTCACATGTGATGTGCTATTCATTTCAATTTATTTAAATAGCAAACTGCAGGTCAACACAACAGTAATTCACTTATTCAATTCACTACAACAAAATGTGTTAGTCTGACCAGACTTTATTTATGTTCTCACGTCCATGCATTTTATCTGCATTTGAGACTAATGCAGTAAAAAGCTTAAAATGAAAACTAAAGGTCAGGATGACAGATTTAAAAAAAGTATTTCCTTAGAGGCTGCAAATAATATAATTACATGTATACACTATATACTGTATACACTATATAATATATATATATATATATATATTGTACAGGATGCCCAGGGGCTGGGTCCTGGACGGACGCTATATTTCCCCTCTGTTTGGGCTGTGGTCCCAAACAAGACAAAACAAGGTTAACTCACCTGCTGGAGGAAGTGTGTTTAAAAGACAGGAAGTTGTAGATAGCATGTGAGATGTAGTGTGGAGTGAAGTGGAGGCTGGAGATTGTGGATTTGTGTGTTACTGTGAAACTGCATGTCAGTATGTTTGTAGAAACCTGTGGACTGGGAAAGTTACCCTGAAAGTCTGGGACTGTTTAACTGCGATTGCAGCTCTGAAACATGGAAGTCGGTGAGACCATTATTTTCTGTTATGCTGAAGAATCGCTGTTTAAGTTTTCCAGTTGGTCTATGAACACGAAGTGTTAGGTTAGTTTGGTGCTATGAAGTTATTTAAGTTAATAAGCATTACTTTATTTGCAAAGCCTCTGTCCTGCAATTCTGCTGGATTCCCCTAACATTACAATATACACTGAGTGGCCAGTTTATTATGACCACCTGACGTTTGTAGGCAAATTAGCTATAATAGGGAATTGGTTTGCTAAAAAATAATAACAGTACATCATTTACCTAACTCTACTTTAATTTTGCTATGCCACAATGTCATAGAACAGAACAGCTAGTAAGAATAACATACAACATGAAGGCATAAAGTTTTTCCATGCTGATTATTTCAAATTTGTTTGGTTTCTTAAACAAAGTCTATTGTATATTGTACAAGAAAACCAATACATTTTAGTCTCACCTTATGTTTGCCAGTAAACATTCATAGATCTTCAGCATTGACATAGTAAGATGCATAGGAGAAGTCTTTGTTACAAATGTACACTTTTTTTCAACAAAATCTAAGCAAACTGGAAGTAGCCATCTGCACATTGACTAAAGAGACAAGACAAATAGTTTTACCAAGATGCATCAACGAGAACGTATCTAATAACAAATATACAATATGAAATGCATAATGTGTATGTAGGTTAGTTACTGAAAACTAAGATGTCACAAGTTCCACAAATATTAATAATGAAGGAGAAGGTGTAGAAGGAACAAGAGGTAAAGGACAAAGAGAAGAAGAGGGGGATAAGAAAGAGAAAAAGGACGAGTAAGTAGAAAATAATGTGTAGAGAAAATAAAACGTATTTATAGCCTAAAATATTAAACTTTCCTCTTGAAGCTATTCAGTCCATCAAGGAAACAAAATGCATTGCTTATGTAAACTCAGCAGCACAACGGATTCTTGTCTGACATGTGCTATATTCATATCTACCTGTATCTGGACTAATATGCCAATTGCATTTTATTAAATTAGCCCATACTGTCAGACTTTGCATTTTTTTCATTTAATATGAGTTCTATGTCTTGTACTTTTAAATCATAACCCTTGACCTGTCACATTAGCTGGGAAAGCCTTACTAACTCAGAAGCGTAAAGGACAACTACATGTTTAGGACCTCTGTGTTGATTTTGTACTTTGTGCTGTTATTTAATACATTCTTCAACCCTTAATCTCACATGAAATTGATTTATTAATTGTTCCATTGATCATTTGTCAGATGTATATGTGTATCCTTTTTTATCAATGACATTTAGTGTATACAAACACACCTATTCCCCGTTTCCATTCTTAAAAGTAATTATCTACACCACAAAAGAGTAAAGATTTTACAATTTTTATTATTGTTAAAACATTACAGTATTCATTATTTTGCATCCTAGTATGCTGATTGATTTCTTAAAATCTACATGAAACCTGAATTGCAAATAAAATTGAGCCTGCTTGATAACTTGGCAATGCTTCATACCCCAATATTGAAGCTATTGTACAGGCTTTTGTGCTGGCAGAAAGTTATGCACAGTATTCTTCTGTGCAAAGAGACCTATGTGCTTTACTCCTATTCATGTTCCTTCACAATTAATGTAACTATTAAGATAATCTTATGTTTTCAGGTGTTTGGATACATGTTTTTCTTCTCAATTCTACATTATCCATGGGTCAAAGCTGAAATGACTTATAAAGCCTAAAATAAAAAAATCAAACTGTGTGAATAGTGTCTTTATAACATTCATAAATATATGAGAAAGCAGTGCCACCTGTACATAAAAATAGATATTTGACATTGATGTAACTTGCTGTGCATCATATTTCTCCATGCTAGTGCCATGCCAAGAAAATGGAGGGTACCATAATAAGAGCTCAAAAATCTAACTTCTTAAAGCACCTCTATTTTAAATGTCCTGTTATGATAATATCCTTAAACTTGACATTTATCAGGCTTGGTTTTTTTAAAAGCTGTGTCAATGATACTGAGAATTCTACAAGAACAAAAATTGTATGCCATAGGGATGGCATCGTTGGTAGTCCAGTTGACTTGATAAATACTATGAATAAATGTTTTACTATAATATGCACATATTTCAGGTAGGCTTAATCTTCAGCTTGTTAACATGCAAGGTCCAAGTGTCAGTGGCTTCTTTTTAAAATGAAAAACTGGATTCTATTAAACAAAGCCTCCTGCCAGAAAGATACCTATCTCTTCCATGTAAGAATGTTGTATTAATAATTTAGACTTTTTTATGCATGTTGGGATGGTTGCTTACATGCCACTGCACGACTGGTTACATTGTAGACATGTAAGCTGTGAAAAAATTTAGTTCAGTTTGGATTTTTCTTTATTTCGGACGAAATCTGAATTTTCATTAGTTTTGGATGAGTTTACGAACAAATATTGTTTGCGACTACCACAGAAAACCATATACAGATATTAATACTAAAGCTGAAGCTCCTAGCGGGAGTTCGAATTTCCGAATAGCATTGGGGAGCTCCAGAAAGCAATACTAGTCTGGGAGCCATATTCATATACATAATGTTAAATCTGAGGCTTCCAGAGCTCCTGAATGCTATTCGGAAATGCAGACTCAATTCGGGTCTTGGAGCATCAGCTTAATATTATTTATATATAATCAGTAATCTGTAGTACCAACGAATATTTCTTGTGGCAACATTGGGAGCCAAATATACATAAAACCAAAGCTGAGGCACATCTAATTGGCCAGAAAAGTCACATGTCCGATTCAATTTCGTTTTTTAAATGAAATTCAGATGGGATCCAAAATTTAGGAAATGGGAATGCAGACACATTCGGATGCATTGGGATTTGGAAATTCGGATGTATCCGAATGTCCGAATTACGCAAAATTCATAAGAATTTTGATTCAGGATAAAACAAATGGCACATGTCTATTACATTGGCTAAATTATCTTGTTATATAAAAATATTTATGAGCTCCATATTTTTGGAAATGCATCCAAGGGAGCTGTAACTGAAGTTATACACCAATCACAGATGCAGACAAAGAATTCGGAGGTTATCATATGACTGCATAATGTGTAGCAAGCCAGTCAGTATCAATAGCCAATAATAATGCAAGAAATTGTTGCCTCCTATTATCATTGACTGTCAATAGCTTCTTCTGACAAACTAATCCACTGCACCTAAGTATATAAAGTCAAAATATACAGATTAAGATTTATAGAAAGAAAATACAAGCCAATGCCTAAGGGGGAAGAGTTTTAGTAGGGCAGCAGCCTCTTATATGTTTCATAATGTTCATACATATGACATATAAAGGTTTTAGGGAAAAATATAATCTTATCGACTTTTGGTCATATGTAAAAATACATTTTATTTGTTGTATATTCAACTATGCAGATACAAAGATCTTGGGCACAAAATAGCAGCAAAATCAAAGTGGTGTGGTGGACATATGATTAAAATCAGACCCTAACACTTTCAATTAATACTATTAAACGTATTATACATAAATGTATTTATAACACTTATTTTAAATGTAGTAGCAATAAAAGTATAACTGAAGCAAAAACTATTTTTTTTACTGAATAAGGGAAGATTATAACTCTGTCAGGCTTTTTTTGCCATCTGAGTCCCAAATTGAGAGATTTGCCTTTAATTCCTGGTGATCAGCAGGGTCACCAGAACTATGGGCCCCAGTGGAAGATTTCCCATCTATTTCTGTTCTGATAATACCCAATATTTTGGATTGTCTTTCAATTTAATTTTTAGTGATAACAATCACCACTATGAAGAAGAGATGGTGACACAAACAGTAATAAAAAAATCCCTCTCCACTCTATCCAAAACTAGAAAAAAAAAAGACTTCTGTTGCACTTTAAAGGCAATACATGGATAGGTTTATGAAGCTGCCAATCCCACAAGAAATAGCACATACACATTGTGAAAATTTCTTCCCAAAACAGTTATGCAAATAGTTACTCTCCCAGTATCAGTGCTAAAGCCTAATGCTAGATTGCAGAAGTACCTGACATTGCATCGTGGGGTGTCGATTAAGATGATGTACCTATTCACCACAGCCAAAAAAGTAAAGACAGTGCTGGTAGTTGGATCATATAAAGATGTGCATGGCAAGCTTATGCTGTCACTCTTGTCCTTCATATATTTGCATATATGTGGCTTTTTCTAAGTGCTACAAGTTTGTACTTCATACTAAATAATGTACTGATAATAATGATATTGTGCAGGCCATGATCCAAAAAAAATCAAAGCTTATATTGTTATATAGATACCTTTTTCAGAACTACAGCAATCTGAATTTTTTACAGTTTACTAAATAAATATTTTAGTATGTATGTGCTGGATGTTCTGTAATATTTGGTATAGTTCTCAGATAAAATGAACAATACATATTCCATAAACATAGATAACTATAATAAAATACTAAACAGCTTAAGATCCACAATTTCCCACAGGAACAATGTTCCCATCTACTGGTAAATTGGAGGGTATATTACTAATAAAAGCAATAACAATGAGAGAATGGAAATGAGCTCTTCCAAAATCATCCAAATAAGCCCATTATATAAAACAAAGTACTATAAATCCCACCTAAGGCAAGTATTAGCCCAACTAATTGCAGAGAGAACATCTCAATTCTGTCATTAGCACATTAAGACTTCAAAAAAGCCATTCAATTACAAAGTGAAAGTCAAACGAAAAATTCTGCAGCACCATATGTTGAAATACATATAGTGAGTTCCAGCAATACTATTTTTCTTCTCTTGAATGATATATTAAGGCAAGTTTCAATACAGGAACAGCATGGTAAGGCATATTAGGACCAGTGTTAATAAACTAATCGTCTGTGCTTTCTACCATATGGCAACTTGTTTTCAAACAATTACACTTTATTCCATCTGCATAGCACAAGCAAGGAAGTAGGCAACATTTCAGAAATCTGTGCTCCCAGCTGGTGGTAAATAGAAGGTGAATGAGTAGCCAGTTAAATAATAATTTAAACAAATTAGCAAAAAAAGAGTAAATATTATATTTTATGTAAAGTTAATTGCCTTATAAGAATGAATGATCCAGTGTAGTGCCAAATAAGCCTTACCACCTTATTTATGTTGTTTCGGAAATAATGCTTTGGTAAAAGTCCAAATTCATAGTGTTAATTTGTTTTGTATCTTTATAATTAATAAGCTTTATTGACTTATCTCCTAAGAGGTTTCATGCCTTCTTCTTGCATTTCCTGTACTGTAGAGAACATACAGGAAAAGGCACACACCTCTTACGAAATCCATATGTGAGTGCTCCATTCCCAGGAAACTTGTTGCACAATTGCACTAAAAATATTCATATTTTAGGATGATGTTATCTTTGTATGGGAACCTTAAAAAAATCTTAGGAGTTTGGATGTCATACTGGACTCCCTGGTGCCATCATTTTTGAGTCACTAATTTGGAACAAGTATGGAGCAAGTGAAGTTAGACTAAAGTAAGAACCACTATACAGAATACTGGTTTTGGATAAGTCAGCAAGAAATCAATATGTATATAAGGTGGTTAT